TTTTACCGCCTCCTACAGTAGGCCTAAGTAGTCTGTCGTGTGTAACATACCGCTGGGCCTTCTCTTTCATAGACTGATGTAGGAACCTGATGAAGAAACCCTGGGCCTTTTTTAAGGTTCTTAATATGAACCCTAATATATTGGGGATATAGGGGCCAGGGTTTCTTAATCAGGTTCCTACATTAGTTCTTTAACGTCTGTGCCACAACTTATGCCAAGCCCTCTTCTTGAGTCCTCGTTGTCGCCAAATCCTAAACCCCGAACCCTGAAACGTGGCCAGGTCATCTCGACCATGAATGAAGAGGCGTGCTCTGAGGAGAAGAAGCTGATCACGAGTTTTCTGGAGCACCCTCACAGTGACGAGGAGTCATAGCTTCCCAGAGACTCAAAACGCATCAGCGAACTGAGGAAGAAGCCTAGCACATCCAGAAGAGTTTTGTCAGAGTTTGACGTAGCCCTTAGCCTGAACCCTAAACCCGAAACCCTAAACTCCTAAAGCCTAAACCTCTAAAACCCTAAAGATGTTCCCTGATGAAAAAATGTGGGAGTCGCTAGGTCGCGTCCCCCCAGAATTTCGGGGGCTGCGCGTACACGACGTATGACACAACGTGTCCCGAAACCCGTGTCCGCGCTTTTGTGACCGATGGGTTTCCCACATCGGGTTCCTGCGGTTCCTTGTAACAGGTTTAAAGTTTAGGAGTTTAGAGGTTTAGGAGTGTTGGAGTTTAGGGGTTTGGGGTTTAAGAGTTGATTAAGAGTTTAGGAGTTTAGGGTTTAGGGTTTAGGAGTTTAGGGGTTTCGGGGTTTGTGGTTGAATCTTCTTTTCTGAACTGCCCATGAGCAGTTACAGGACCAGGGGACGCAGCAATGAGGCGACAAGAAAGCTTCTGTGTAGTAGCACTTGCAACCCGAGTTATCATCCCCAAATTAATGATTGGCATGGTTCCGAAAGCCAGACAGAATGACGTTTTTGCCACTCGAATATCGCTACGGAGCCTTTTTATTTGCTAAACAAACCCTAGCCACAGCCTTCAGTGTAGCTCCGTTTTGGGGGGCTTTAAGCCATGTTTCAAGTAGGACCCCTTGACGACGTGGCGACTATGGGGTAGTAATACGGGGCCTAAATACTTACCTATACTATTTTGCGGGTTCCTCATTATAATTATAGTCATAGCATAACATACCTCAAGACCCCATTCTAAGTATTAAGGCCGTGATTCACCCTTATACAACCCTTATAATAACCCTTTAGAGTAACCCTTCTAAAGGAGCCCTAGTCGAAGTCTTAAGGCCCCTATAGGTACCTTCTCTTGCCTAATTGGAGTCCCCCTAGGATCCTGGCTTTAGAGCTTCGAAAAGAGTTTCCACAGGGACTGGCAAAGCCACGGATCCTGTTTGGAAACAGTTTTGGTGGAAGACCCTTGCGGGTTTAATATAGGGGCCGAAAAGAATTACCAATGCTATTTTGTGGGGTTCCTTATCACAACTATAGTATAGTTTGCACCAGAACCTTATTCCAATTATCAAGGCCCCTGCGATAGGGTGTCGGGTCTAGTGGGGTGTCTGATGCCCGTGGCTCCGAGGAGATATGCCGGGAGCTGCCATGAGAAAAAGGGGCCGGTGCTCAGCCAAGATGCCGGTGAAGAAAAGGCATTATAGGGGCCTTAATTACTAGAATAGGGCTCCTTTTTGGGTTACTATAAAGGGTTATTAGAAGGGCTCTATACGGGAATGATATAGGGGCCTTGATAATGAGAAAAGAGTTTTTGGTGTCTATTACACTAACTATACTACAAGTACAACAAGGAACCCTCCCAAAATAGTATAGGGTTCGTGGCTTTCAGCCTCCTTCGGCTTGGCTTCCCTTTAGGATGCCCCCCCTACACCCTAAGCCCTAAATTCTAAGCGCTAAGCCCTAACCGTAAACCCGAAACCCTAAGCCCAAAACCCTAAGCCCTAAACCCGAAGCCCTAAACCCAAAGCCCTAAGCGCTGAACCCTCACTTATAGCCCTAAACCCTAAGCCCTAAACCCTAAGCCCTAAACTTCTCGTGGTCAGCTTCCGGGAAGACCGGGGATCGCTTCCTAAATGGGGTGTCCGAGATTAGGGGACCCTAATATAGCCCTAAACCCTATAAACCCTAAGCCCTAAACCCTAAACCCGAAATAGTCGGATCCTTATTTTAGGGACGCCAAATTAACGTACCCCTCGGTTTTCGGAAAGTCCTTAATGGACTCATGGCTTCAAGGGCCCGGAGCTTCTCGGGCTTAGGGGTTTAATGTTTAGGGTTTAATGTTTAGGGTTTAGGGGTGCTTTAGCCCGATATCTACCTTACAAAACCCAAGCATGTCCCCCAACCCTACTGGAATTAGTACAGCGGTTTCACGGTTTATTACCAAGGCCCCCCATCTTAAGCCATCAGTTCCATGACTTCCCTAAGATGTATTACTGTAACGAGACTAGCAGGTTGAGGTCCACTTCTGCACTTCCCAAACCCTAATAGAGGTCTGGTTTTTCGCTTTTGGGGGTTTTGGGTTCAGGCTTTCGGGGGTAGGGTTTAGGGTTTAGGGTCCGGTTTTTCGCTTTTGGGGTTTCGGTTCAGGCTTGCGAGCCCTTATAATTGTGGCACCTTCACACGGGCCCCAAAGTTAGCCGAACCGTCTTTGTAACAAGCCCGTTATACACCCTATGCCAAAACCCCTATGCCAAAACTGAGGGCCCCTGTCTAAACTTGAAAAAAATGTCAAGGCCGCGAGTGTATATAGGAACCTGATTCAGCAACCCTGGTCCTATAGGCCCAAACTATTAGGGCTCGTATGAGGAACCCTACTAAAGACCCATCGAATCAGGTTCCCTAAACCCTAAAACCCTAAACCCTAAACCCTAAAACCGTAAACCCTAAACCCTAAACCCTAAAGCCCCAAACCCTCAACCCTAAACCCTAAAACCCTAAACCCTCAGATCCTACATTATCGAAACCACAGGACCCGGAGCAGCCGCAGGATCAAACGCCACTCGAGCCGAAGCCTCGCCTCGCGCCGCCAAGCCACTGGGCCTTCCATGGGATGAACGTTTAATCTTGGGGCTCGGTTAGGGTGTATTTAGGGTTTATTGAGGGTTGAGTTGGGGTGTAGTTAGGGGTTTAGTTAGGGTTTCTTTAGGGTTTAGTTCGGGTTTAGTTAGGGTTTATTTAGGGTTTAGTTAGGGTTTATTTAGAGTTTAGTTGGGGTTTATTTAGGGTTGAGTTGGGGTTGAGTTAGGGTTTATTTAGGGTTGAGTTGGGGTTTAGTTAGGGTTTAGTTAGGGTTTAGGGTTTAGTTAGGGTTGAGTTGGGGTCTAGTTAGGGTTTAGTTAGGGTTTATTTAGGGTTGAGTTAGGGTTTATTTAGCGTTTAGTTCGGGTTTATTTAGGGTTTGTTTAGGTTTAGTTGGGGTTTAGTCAGGGTTTAGTTAGGGGTTTATTTAGGGTTCAGTTAGGGTTTATTTAGGGTGTATGTAGTGTTTTTTAAGGTCTATGTTCAGGGTTTAGTTAGGGGTTAGAGTTTAGGGTTTAGGGGTTCGGGTGGGATGTTCAAAAGGTTTTGGGGTTTAGGGGCTTTCCGTCTACCCGGAAAGGTTCAGGGCTTCCCTAAACCCTAACCCCTCATTATGCAGAAGGGCTTTTGTTGAGCTTAGTTCGGGCTTTGGTTTCAACTAAGACTTGCTGTTGGGTTTCATGCGGATTTTCGAAGATGGAGTCTCAGAATGATTTTGAGGGGCTTTGTCACTGCTTGCGTGGGTGAGAGTTGAGGGAGTAGGGCTTCAGGATATAAGGCCTGAGGCAACCAAGCTTCACATGGGGTGTCTAGCAAAGAGGTTCCGGATGTCCATGATATTTACATACGCAGAAGTAAAGGGGCCATGGACGTTAGGACCAGATGATAACGGCGCCAAATGCGTGGATCAAAGTTGGGCCGGCACACAGTTGAGTTGACTCTTGAAACCACAGGTTTTCTCACCGAAGGGCCGGGAGGGCGGGGCGGGGTTCACTGGCGGGGATGGGGGCGGGGACTTTACTCCGTGAGACTGCCGGCTGCTTGTTGGGTTGGTTTCATTCATTAGGTCCTGCAGGCCGTGCTTGATGTGTTGCGAGTAAAATAGTAAATTAAGTCATTATTAGGTTTTCGTACTTTATATTTTCTCATTTTGTCGTATCTTATCTGGCAATTATCGACACATCCGTCATAGCGACGACCAGCTAGTCCTTCTCACGTTAAGTTAATCCTCGAGCCTGCTTTGATGCTTCGGGTTCATGTTTCCCAAACCCTAAACCCCTCAAGCCCTAAACCCTGTATAGCAGAAGCCAGAAAGTTGGAACATCAATATTTCTAATGCCTTTAAAGTAAAGTATAGTGGATCCTAGCACCAATCCCCCTGAACCCATCTTCCAACTTTCTGGGGTTCACTGTAGTGGTTGTCCAAGGAAGCCTAAAACCCTAAACCCTAAAACCTTAACCCTAAACCGTGAACCCTAAAACCCTAAAGCCGTGAACCCTAAACCCTAAACCCTAAACCCAAAACCCTGAGTGGAACCCTATCTCTTCCGAGAGTTTCTGGTTGGAGACTTTAGCAGCCTTTAGGGCACCTCCTACTCTAATTCCTGGATTTTTTATTTCTTGGTTCAAGCTTTGGGATTTCTAGGTTTGGGGTTCTGGTTTTGGAGTTCCTGGATTCAGGTCTGGGTTTGGAGTAGGAGGTCTCTACCGAAACTAGCCCTAAGCGCACGACCCTAAACCCTGAACGAGATACGAGAGTTATTTAATCCTACCTAGACACTCTATTTGCCCTCCATTAGGCCCATTATTTGGGACCATATATAATTCAGTTTGAGGGCACGAGGAGGGTCCAGGTAATAAGCCCTGGCTAAACCCTGAACCCGAAACCCTGAACCGAGATATTCAATACCCTAAACCCTAAACCCTAAACCCTAAACCCTAAACCCTAAACCTTACAGTGTCCAAGGCAGCCGAGAGCGATCCCCTTCATGCGGCGTCACTTCCCTTGGGCCCTCGTTGCTGGACTGGCTTCCCAGTGTCCCGCTGCATTTTCCCAGGAGGCCCGGAAAAGAAGGGTTCCTTTAACGGCTCCGATAACAGCTCCTGCAAAGGCTCCTACAAGGGTTCCTTAAAAGGCTCCATTAAGGGTTCCTATAAAGGGAACAACAAGCTTCGTATGCATGGGGTTAGGAGTTTAGGGCCTATAGGGTTGAGTCGTTAGCGTTTTAGGTTTGTCGTGGTCCTGCTCAGGGGTTTAGGGCTGTGTTTTGTTATGTTCTTTTTTGAGGAGGCGGGTCATTGTCGTGGAGCTTCAGGGATGCAAGCTTCAAAGGCATTTGTTCGTGTATATACATATATATATATATATATACATATATATATATATATTTATTTATTTAATGTGGAGATGTGTACGCATGTATGTATTGTTTCCAAGAGTTCCTATTTCATGTGTACTATTATTTCCAGCGCGATTATTTCTTTTTGGATTTATTTTGCGGTTTCATGCCCGTTGTTAGTGTCTTTCCGTTTCTATCTCCAGTGGCAGTACTAGTATTGTTGCCATTACCATTTTCGGTACCGTTACAGCTATGCTTACCATTTCTATTCCCATTAAGTTTGCTAGTGCTGCTCTTATTTTTCAATGGCTATTGCTGCTAGTACTGCTGCCAGCATTATCACTATGCCTATCACTATCGTTATGACAAACACTATGACTATGAAAACCACTTGCGTGACAAGCAGACAATCATATGTATGTTATATATATATATATGGGTATTTGTGTATGTATGTGTATGTATCTATTTATGTATGTATGTATGTATGTATGTATGTATGTATGTAAGTAAGTAAGTAAGTACTTAAGTAAGTATGTATGTATGTATGTACGTATGTACGTATGTACGTATGCGTGTATGTATGTACGCACATGCATCTGTGCTACACGCATACATACATGCATGCATACATGCATAAACACATACGCACATACACACAAGCAAGCATACGTACGAATATACATGTACACATGCATTGACTACATATATATATGTATAAAGATACATGTGCATATACATATACCTACAGCCTACACATACATAGGTGTATATAGACGCAGATAGGTAGCCTGACTGCAAACCCCGAGACGAGAAACTTAAACCCGAAGCCACACGCCATGGAACTCTAAAACCAAGAGTGTCCTATGTCCTCAAGGGTCCAAGCACTCCTTTTTTTGGACTTTGGGTCCATGTACCAAAAGCCATGAATTAGGACTACTTGGACCCTTAAGGGTGCCTATATAGCAGAACGTAGGGTTTCTATCTAGTATATTTGCCTGTATAGTAGAACGTAGGGTGTCTATATATTAGGAAGTACAAGAATGATTCAGGGAAGTATTCCCCCCATAGCAGCACATAGGACCCTTTGGGAAAGGCACCGGAAGTGGAAGACCTCGCGCTGCTTACGACTCGTGCGAGAGCTGGGAACAGCCCGAAAATTCCTGCGATCGTGCATTTTAACTACAAGATCCTTTGGCTCCCATACTGTTGATGAATAAATCCTGCATTACCTTCAGGTCCCTAAACTATGGGAATTATGGTATATTCCTGATTATGGGTAACGCAGAATTTGTATCATCAACCGTAGTTTAGGGATTTAGGATTTCAGCTACAAGATCCTGTGGCTCCCATATTTAGGGTTCAGGGTTTCGGGGTTTTCGGCTTTTAGGGCTTTGGGTTTCGGTATTTCGGCTTATGGCTTCAAGGTTTTAGGATTTCATCTGCCCTAAACCCTAAACCCTAAACCGGCAAGATCCTGTGGCTGCCATGTCTAGAGTTTCGGTTCAGGATTTCAAGCCTGAGATCCTGTGAGGGTTTAGGAGTTTATCTACAAGATCCTGTTGTTTAGGGTTTAGGGCTTAGGGGTAAGATCCTGTTGATCAGGGTTTAAGGTTTTAGGGCTGCTGGTTTAGAGTTTACGGGCTCAGGGTTAGGATTCTAACGGATTACAAGATCCAGTGGCTCACAGGTACGGGGTTTAGGATGGCTACTGCAAGATCCTGATGCTGCAAGTGATGCTTTGCCCACGTACAGGGTTTCGGATTTCAGTTGCAAGATCCCTGACGAGCAAAGAATTTACAGTAGAAGCCCGAAAGTTGGAACAGTATTATCCTGATGCTCTTAAGGTAAAGTATGAAGGGTTCCTACCCTAAACCCCTAAACCCTAAACCCTAAACCCTAAACCCTAAACCCTAAACCTAATCATACCAAACCCATGTTCCAACTGTTTGGGCTTCGCTGCAAGCAGGGTTCAGCCTTTGTGGCCCCCATTTTCCGCCCTCAATTGCGGCATATGACCCTTCAAACACTATGTAAAGTCGGCGCCACATGTATATCCCCTAGAGTTGAGAGATTGGTGACTAAACTTTAGGGTTTAGGGTTTAGGGTGTAAAACCACACAACCCCTGCCCCGCCCCTAAACTCTAAACCCTAAACCCCTAACCCAAGACCCCAAGCCCCAACATAACAAGGGCAACAGGGTGCTACTGGGGACCGAGGATTCGAAGCGTTTGACCTTGCACCCTAAACCGGTGTACGGTTTAGGGTTTAGGGTTTAGTGTATTGTATACTGCATAGGCTGAACATATTGTAGAAGCCGCGTAGTTAGTAAGTCTTAAAGCATCCTGTATGATAGAAACTCTTTCTATAACAACCCACCGTAGCTCTTATAGTATCCCTAGATCCGAACCCCCTACGAAACCTTCAAACCCTAAACCCTAAACCCTAAACCCTAAGATCAAATCCAGGATCAATTTGCACATTGACGATGACAGCTATGACTTCGGGGATGTGTCGACAGACGACAAAGACTTTCTCCAGGATCTTGGGTTTAGCCTTTTCCTTGGGCGAATTATAGGTTTTTTTGGGTCTATAGGGTTTATAGGGTTTAGGGGGTTTATGGGGTTTAGAGAAAAAAGGGCTTAGGGTTTATAGGTTTAGGGTTTAGGGTTTGGAGTTTCGGGCGGTGCTTATTCGGGAATTAAAGGCGGCGTGCAGGGTTGGTCGGGCGTGTTCGGAGGGTTTCGCAAGTGTTTTCCACACGGTTTGATAGTGTTTTCACTCTTAAACCGCAAACCCCAACCCTAAAAGTCCGTCGAACGTAGATAGAAAAATCCCAAACCCAACAACCCTAAAAGCCGTTTTTTTTTTAACCCTGAACAGCTCCCTAAACCCTAAACCAGCTCTCTTTATGACCTCGGGCTCCCTGTAAGGTGTTGAAGAAGAATTGCAAGCACACCGTGGACACCTTCGGTGGTGACGTAGACAAGGTGTACTTCTACGACGACCGAGACTGCGAAGACGAGCTCCGGAAACTGAGCGACTTCGATGGCGATAAGTTGCCGGGCGACACTTTGGCATAATCTTGAATTGCCCCTTCGACCTTCTAAATTGATGTATCTATATTCATGGATGCCTTCGAGGGCGCCTAAAGAACAACCCAGGTTAGCGGACGGCTTCGGACGCTTCCAAAATGGTCGTTTTAAGTCCGATTTGTGTCGCCTGGCGCAGCTGTACACATATGGCGGCTACTACTTCGACACCGACATCCTTCCGGCGCCTCAGCAGTTGGTTTTTGCAGACTTGAAAGGGTTTAGGGTTTAGGGTTTGCAGACTTGAAACCCACTGTCTTCATGAAAACTCCTGCCAGCATCTCCTATCTTGAAGTCTTAAGCTGTTGGTTGATATCCCACGGAGCCCAGTCAACCTACTACGCCATAGCCTAAACGACTAGTATTACTTGTTCCTGGGCTGAAGGCCCCAACATTAGAGATACGAGCCACTTGTAACCATTTAGACTTGTAGCCCCACTTCAACTCCAAAACCCTTACTGCCGACGCGCAAGGCCAAGGTCCTTTAATATAGAAGGTTGAATTAAACTACCGTTCGCTTAAAGTCAAGGGGCTTCCAGAAGTGTTCTATAAGGGTTTAGAGTAAAGAAGTAGAAGCCTCAACAATAATTCCCAGTACTATTCCTTAGGGTTCCTATCATAGTCACAGTACAAACACACCCGAATACCTCGCTATTTTCCAAGACCCCGACAGCACCAGACCTTTATAGCTCCTTATGGAAAGAGCCGTGAAACCGTCAGGGACGTACACTCACCCCAAGCACCAACAACTTTCAATGAATAGAAGCCCTAGGCCCAAACCCCTAACCCCTATAAAACTAAACCTTCATCCCTCAACCCCAAGCCTCATCCTTCAATCCCACTTTAGAACCTCTTGCAGCAGCCCTTCGAGGAACCTTCATAGGAGCCTTCTGTCATCGGAACCCACAGAGAGCACCCTTCTGCCCAAAACCCACTAAACCCTAAACCC